TTGATAGTTACCGTGGTCTTCTCCAAGCAACGAAGTAGATGATGATGCTGCAGCTCGAAGATATCCTCCTCCTTGTAGAACTCCTCCAGCTGCAGTCCGCTCTCCTGAGCGGCTAAACGCGCTTCCGCTGCCTTCTTTTTGCTCACGAAGGCAGCGCCGCTCGATGCCTTCGCGATTCTGATACGCGCCAATCTGGCTTTCTGTAATACAAAAAAAGGGAAACTATTAGTTCATCAGTTTTTTTTTTAAGATCTAAACATAAAGCTGAAACCAGCTGGAAAATTCATTATTAAACTTTTTATTAAAACTATAATTTTTATTCATTTTTAAATTTTCTTATTCAATAATATATTGAGAAAAATTGAATTTATGCAAATGAGTAAATATAATAGAAAATTTCAGTTATTAGAAATTAACTTTCTACTATTTATCATACATGTTGTTATATTATTAGTAATACATTTTATTTTAGTTACTTCTTTAGAGACCAGAATTTTTAATTCAGATATAAAATAATTTATAAAATAAAAGTGAGTTTAATCTCTAAGCATGCGGTTATTAAAATAAATGAGATCTGTCGCGTAGACAAAATTCGCACGGAAGACACATAAAAGCATTTATATTATTTTACGATTAAGTATGCGCAAGAGTATCTTTTGATATTCACCGGGAATAAATTCTCGCTAAAGCCTGAATAAACCTTTATCTTAGAATCGTGGCACATAACTTCATTGTGCCTTCTTAAATTCCCATTTCATTTCGCGTGGGGAAGTTTTCGGTTGAGAAATGGCTGAATTTCGTCGCCGTAAATATTTTACGTAAATTCTTAAGATGGGTAGAAAGAAATACTGAGGGTCTTCCTTTGTCAGGAAAATTTGTTTCTGAAAACCCTCAGTATTTTTGTTTTTTCTTTGCTAAAATATAACTATTTCTTTGCTAAAATATTAACTGTATATTAAAGAACGTATTTGAAAAGTTTATCTAAATTAAATTATCCTCAATAAATGTATTATATCATGTTCCTATTATATATTGTGTATTCTTCATCTTTACTTTCTATCATTATCGTCGCTTGAACAGAGCAGGCATATTCCATTAAAAACAATCCCTACAAGTGTTTTATATACATATGATATATCTAATAAATTTATTATTAAAATTATGAAGGTCTCGGTCTTGACTTTATAAATATATAAAAGTATGACGTATCAATAACATATCAAAATCTAATAAGATTTCATATATTAGAAAAACTTGATTCGAGAGATAAATAGAATACATTGTAATGTTAATGTTAAATGCTATTACAGCAAAATTCTCAAATTCTAAATAACTTGAAAATTCAATGTATATACTTCATCCAGTTGTTCTCTACTTATAAAATAAAGCACTTATAATCATGAAAGCAAAATGTGTTTACAGAAGGATTTACAGAATTCGTAAATCCTAAGTTATGATAAGTAATATTACTAGCAGTTGAAATACTTTGAATTATTTATTTATAATCCCGGACAAGCGAGAAATTATAAATAAACGTAGCTCTTTCCGCCCTGTATTTTTCTAAGTGTCTTTATAAATAAACGACCTTATGCAACCTTATTGACGCTGTATATAACCACGTGTTTAATTTTTCTTTTTTCTTACGGTCGACCTGCAACAACTATGGCGCTATTTTATGCGGCAAGAAATCTGCGCGCAGTTAGCAAGCACAAATAAGTTCCTTACAATATTGCTTAATCTTTATATGATTTTTTTGTATTTCAAAAATGTAAGAAGAAGATGTGAGTAATTTTTTAAGATTAAATTTTGATTTTGAATTTTAGATCTGATTTCTTTCATAATACTTTTTTAAGAAAATTGTTTTCTTTTCTTTATAAAAAAAAATCAAATATAAAAATATTTCAATTTTCTTGCGTTGCAAAAATTTGAACAGATACTATTTTTATTAATAATTATTTTATTAATAATATTTAAGTTTAAATATCATTTATAATATTTATTGGCAATTATAATTCTATTAGAACAAAACTAATTAAAAATGTAAATTAAAAAATTTTTAATTTTAATTTTATATTTTTTAGATTAAAACGAAGGCTTTTTGAAAATTCTGCATAATTAATTCTGAAAGTGCAGAATTCATTTCACAGCTGTCACCTTTTTTTTCAATCATATTATCTAATTTTTTTAAGAAAGAAGATCATATAATAAAACTAATAATGGGATTAAAAATCAATTCCTAAAATTTCATTCTGTAAAGAAAAAAAACGAAATTGTATCTAAACTGCAATAAGTTTGATTACACTTTTAATTAACAGGTAATTCAAATATTAAAAATATTATATTAAGGTACAAGGTTTGCTTTTGAAGATATAAAAGATAAAGTAGTATTTCAGAATAAACTGAACGTTGAACACTTTTTCATACATGTTGTGGCCAGAGTTGTGATGTAATCGGATAATATCGGAATTTCTGCAGTTTTATGCGATATTACACTGCGAATAAACTCTCGACAGACTCTTTTCCGGCCACAAATGAGGATTAACGGCGAAGTCCGAGCGGTCGCGTATCGACCGCGCTAATTTTGTAACTTTCGTAACTTGCGCTATCTAATTGCGGAAATTGAGGCAGACGGCAATGAGCGCTAATTCAATGTCCACGTCTCGACCTGCTGTGCGCAATCATTATGAAAATATTACGATGACCATCTGTTCTTTGTGAGATTTTCCGAACGCTAGTGTATATTTTTGTGAACCGTATCGATAGTTGCCATTAATCGGCTGATTAGAGATTGAAAGGGCTCAGTGTTTCTATCGATTCTATTTTTGTTAAAAAGAAGGGGTAAAAGCATCAAGCGGCTAGAGGGTCTGAGAATTTGCTTCAGTCGATAAAAATGTAGACACAAGAAATTAAATCCCCTCTTTACTGTAGAAATGTTTCGTTTTCTATCTTCAAATGACTAGTGAGTGGAAATTATTTTCCGCGCAGAGCTATTAAGCTACATGTATCGTTTTGTAAACACAATAATTTTGAATAAAATGTCACATATTAAGCAATATATGTAATATGCAAGCTACTCACATTTGAATTTATGATACTTTATATTAATTAATAAATGTTGATAAAAATGTAAACATCAGAGATTGTGCGCTCTTTGCCATCTTTAAAATATTTGGGTTGGTAGAACACAAATATTTGTATCGTATATTAAATAAATTAATGCAACTTTACAAAACATCGTGTTCTTATCGCAAACCTAGCATAAGATCAACTTCATACCCGTTCTATTAACTCAGATAATCTCTACAGATTCGCAACATAGATCGCATTTTGCGGTAAATGAACCGCGTAATGGAGAATTTAGATCTAATTCTCCGTCGCCATTCAGAAATTTCAGCCGGTTTCAACGCTAAATTCACATTAGAGACCGGTGAACCGGAAACTCTCCGCTTATCGCGAACTTGCGATAAATGCGGAGCACCAAAAGATACGAAGGCGCAAGATCGCCTCGCGGAACAGAAGCCCGTTTACCGATTTACGTTCGCCCTCGGTATATTTTCGCGCGGTGCAATTCCAACCAGAACTGCAGCCACGATTTTCCGCGATGTGCGTTTCGTTCGGCACTCGCGGATGTTTACGTCGCATCGTTACGGATCGAGGCGTCTGCGAAGCGTCAGAAAGCCGTCTTCGCAGCCGCGGCTTAACTGCGCTTTACTGTCGCTCCGCGACAGCAACGGCGACGACTGTTGAGAGAGCCGGGAATAGTAAAGCTGCACGACAACGCGGAATCGTCGCCAGCTGTGATTGAATGTGGCTTCATGAAACCGCAATGAAAACGCTGTAAAATGAGCGAAATCGAGCTCTCCAGACGCGCAGCACAACATGATGAAATTCATAACGTTTCAACGTACGATGAAGCGACGTCGAGACGCGGAGAATTTCGATAAATTTTATAAAATATCATCTTGACACATCGTCAATTAATTAATTGTCAATCAATCGGTATCTACGTACGTGTATGTGTGTTTTTATTCTTAAATATAAATATTATGTCATCGTTTCTTCACAACAAGAAATTGAAATTAATTTGACGTAAAAAAGTACGTTTAAGTTAACTAATGTTATTCATTGTTATGATGTGACTGTACATATAAATCAAATGTAAATTACGATTGCTACCGTAGACAATAAAGTGCCGCATCGTAAATAATGTATACTGACGTAAGTTGCCGTATGTCAGATGTATTTCAAATGGCATGCCTGACAGACTCCGTATAACAAATCAACTGCTTGACGATAACCATTTCCAATTCACGTATGGATTGACTACAGTTCTTACCGAGATTACACGATAGCGTCGATATGCATCAATTATTTAATTAATATATCAATAATCAACAATATGATTTTATTTTTACAGACATCACATATCGATTTTCATATGAAAACGGCTGTAATGCGTATAATTTTCTGATGTAAATACGTTGATAAAAAAGATAACAAGAAAAATAAAAGTCGAAAATATATTAAATATATTTTATAATATTTTCAAAAGAGAAAACATAATTGTTTTATTAAATTACATCGTTTTTAATCAAAGTTTCATTGAAGAAATATGAAGTTTTCAGATAGAAGAGAAAATCTGCAAATAGAAGAATTTTGAGATGTTTAATGTAACACACGACGGAAAATGACCGAAAGAAATATTTCGTCAGAAACGATGTAGAGACGCTTAATTTCCTTATCGTCGTTACATTACAAACATGTCTTTCCGAAGAAGCTTTTACATCTCGAAAGGGTTATCAATGTCTGGCAACGTCGCCGCCGGAAGTTACATAGATTCGCGAATGCATTCAACCCACCGGCATGGTATCGCTTGTGAAACGAGGGAAAGTAGAAGTTCGGCTGAAACGTATCTACAGCTTGCAGCGGTTTCACAACCCAAGGCGGACACAATCGAATACTCAAATAGCTAGTCGCCAAATAAACGCGTGCGCAAAACAAAAGCGGCAACGATAACAATATTGTACTTATATTCACGTGGCTGCAAACAGAATGATTAAAAAACACGCGAGCCCGCGCAATTACTAGGAAAACTATGCCGGAAATTATGACAGAGCGAGTCTGTCGATTCTTGCATACATCCTTCTAAATTCTTACATACTTCCTTAATTTCGTTCAAACGCGGAAAGAATAATTTGGT